AAATAATAAAGTTTAAAATTCTGTATGCTTTTAGAATCCAATTCATTTCAGATTTAAAACATGTTATCGAATAAAACTCAAAAATATCAAGATGATAGTGGAAAAATCTTTGAATTAGTTCGCCAAAATTTGAACTTAGTTGTTTCAAGTGAATTGAAAGAAAAGATAATTAATGATATTGTCGAGTATTTTGAAAATCAAGAAAAACAACAAACAATTGAAACATTGGAACAAAATGGAAAAATTGAGGAGATTGTTGACAAGTTGTTGAGCTATATAAAACCTCAACTTGATTATGATACAACATTTCAAGAATTGGTTGCTGATTTAAAAAATGAAATAAAAAGCTGGAAAGATGAAGTTATTGAACTTAAAGTTAATGTATCTGAACTAATGGAAGAAAAACGATTAAAACAAGCTGGAGTGCTTGCATATGAATTGGCTTTGGTATATAGACAGTACTATGTTGATCCAATTTTAAAACAACATAATTACACAAATTATGGAAAGTATATGAACGAGTTATGTGAAGCTGAACAAAAAGCAGCAAAAAGTTTAGGTGCGTATGTCTCTTTTGAATTGAAAGAAAAAGGTTGTAATGTGTGGAGCGAGGAGAACTGTGGTTTGAATTTCTTACATTGAGAATTATGCGGTTGTTTATTTAGGTGAATGGGATGAAACTTTCACTCAAGTTGATTTGATTACAAATCCAAATGTTCAGAATGATAAAAATGTCAAAAGGCTGGTTGATTTGCTAGAATTACAATTAAATAATTTCAAATTAAGTGAATACCGATTAGTGGGATACGAACGAAATCGTGATGCACATCATGGTATGAAACTAAAGTCAGTTGATGATCAAAAACAGCTATTGAAAGATATAGGAAAAGCTGATTTCAGTAAATATCCATTCAAAGATATTGTATCAGAAATGATAGCCGACGTACAACTTATAGAAACCAAAAGTCAGATGAAACGTTTTTCGTAACAATATTTTTTATTTTTCACTAAAACAATGCAACAAACGATGAATTGTTGTCGCTGTGATGTTGTTATTTTTTGTTGTTTGTAAAATTTATATTGTTAATAAAAAAAACAAGAAAGAGTGTTTTTTCTGACCTTCAAAGTTTTACAACGGAAATCGGGAACAATTACCCTTTAAAAGAAATTACCTTCCGTGTAAAGTGAAGATGCTCTCTCTATTATGATTTTTTGCATGTGTTCTTTATTCTTTATTTCTAAAGCAAAACAGAAAAGTCGGGAGCACTTCTATAGATTTATCACACCTTCACTCTCACATGAATGTTTATATTGTTTTAATATGGATTGTACTTTTATCCATGATCATTACTCTATTTATTGCCTACGTTTATATTCTAGATGAAAGGAATAACCGCAAAGCAGCTGTCAAACATGATAGTATAAGCATACCAATTTAGAAAAGATTACTGATTTGAAACAGACTGACAATATGTTTTAGACCTTTAGCTGTAAGACTAATTAGTGTCCATACTATTTTATGAGTGTTGCACAAAAAACCAAGAGTTTCATAGTCACAAACGAAAAACAGTTGACATAAAATTCAGCAAAAAAGTACTGCTTATTTATTGAAAGAATACAAAACAGAAAGAGAAAACCAACTATTACACAACGCATAAAAATAATCAAGTTTATGAAGAACACAAGAAAAATAGATTCGACGCAGAATCTCTCAAGGAGCTAAACCAAAAAGACGATCGTTTCCCTAGCGGTCAATTTTTGTGCGCCCTCGTCTTCCTGTTGAATGCACTAATAGTACAACAGTAATCATCATTTAAAGATGAGACTGTATGTTGGTATCCTTAACATTGTCTTCAATAAGCCGTTTCTTATCGCAATGAAAAACTAATAGAAGTGTTTTAAACTTTATAC